AAGAAAATTTCACATTGGCTTATAGAATAAATAGGAAGAAAATGGAATTGATCAAAACCAAACAAAAATATAAAACTGCCATAAAGCTCAAGTTATGAGCAGGAATAGCTTCAATTAGAAAAAGTGTATCAAGAGACCTCCAGCAAAAGCAGTCTGTTTGTTTACATATTACTTGTTTCCAATTTACAGCTGTCATATTTGCTTTTCCTTGATGAAACACTGCTCAGCTTATTCTTCTAGTATTCATAATAATAAAACAAAAGTGAAGGGAAAAATGTCCTCCAAAAGTGAAGATAAATATTTTGGGAAAAGATGATTAGAAAAATTTTCTTGTATTGACTTCCAATGACCTTTAATCAATGCAGTTGGGATAAAATTTATAAGTTCATATAAAACTTACAGCATATTTAAAATTTAAACTTTGATTTATAGAAACCGATTTTACTATTCATAGAAAGATTATTTTAATAATATATTTGGGTGTCAAGAACATATTTTACTGCCTTTTCCTGTATTTTAAAACATGTCTTAAAGTATTTTATTTTTTTAAATACATTAATAGAATTCTCTGTAATGAGGGGGGAAAACCCCTTTTCAGTATAGTAAAGACTATAATTTTTTGTTTTTATATTTATTAGGAGAAAAACATATAATATGCCTAGATTGATTCTTTAACTACAAAGCAACAAAAATGCCATCACAGCGAGTATCACTACCTCAGAACCATGAAAATAGTTCCACAGGCTACGCCATAGGAACAAAGTTGGTAGGAGAATTGAGTATAACAAAAAAAATTCACCACAAATGATTTATGTTATTGCAGGTTTGGTTTCAGATCATGAAATAAAATAAATACTAATAAAGTAAGCCATACAAAATTTTTAGTTTCCCAGAGTATATGAAAGCTATGTTTACAATACACTGTAACTTTTACAGTGTGTAATAGCATTATGAAAATGTTTTAAATATTTTGAGACTACCAAAATGTGACACAGACATGAATGAAGTACATGCTGTAGAAAAATGGTATTACTTAGACCCACCAGATGCAGAAATGTAAAAATTCATTAATCTGTAAAAGACATTAACATCTGTAATACACAGTAATGTGAAATACAATAAAATGAGGTATTGCTGAGGTGCTAATATGAATGTATATTTATCCAAGTAACATTTGCAAAATATAAAACATGTACAAAAGACTCCTAGCTGGTGGTACCATAAAATTCATCCAGTAATCCTGATTAGCACAGAAAATAACATTTTCTCCATGTCTTTTGCCCATTTTGTAATTGTGTTATCAGTCTTTTTCTTGTGGAGGCCCTGTAGGATTCTGTACATTTTCTTTTATAACCCAATTGTGTAGAGAGTTATATGGGTGGTTTTGTAAGCTTACCCTCTTGTGGTTAATTTCTAGTTTTATGTCATTGCGATCTGACAAGACACTTTGTATAATTTCAGTGTTTTTGAATTTGCTGAGGCTTGCTTTGTGTCCTAATATGTGACTGATTCTGGAGAATGTGCCATGTGCACTTGAGAAGAAAGTGAATTGAGATTTAGTTGGGTGTAGTACCCTGAATATATCCACAAGGTCAAGTTGGCTTATTGTATAATTTAGCTCTTCTGCATCTTTGTTAAGTTTCTTTTGAGTTGACCTATCTTTTGGTGATAGTAGGTGTGTTAAAGTCTCCTACCACTATTGTGGAAGATACTCGGATGGCCAACAGACACATGAAGAAATGATCGAAATCACTAGCAATAAGAGAGATGCAAATGAAAACCACTATGAGATACCATTTCACCCAAGCAGCAGTGGCAAAGTTTAATAAGGCAGCAAGTAATAAATGGTTGGAGAGACAGGAACTCTTATACACCGTGGATGTGACCGTAAAATGGTACAACCAAGCTGGAAAGCACTTTGGCATTTCCTCAGAAGTCTGAACACAGAAATTCCGTATGACACATCTATTCCACTATTTGGAATATACTCTGAGAAAATGAGAACTGAGGCACAAATGAATAAATGTACACCATTGTTCACAGTAGCATAAATTTACCATTGTAAGAAAATGGAAACAGTTCAAATGTCCAACCACAATCAAATAGATTGTAAAATTATGGCATATTCACACAACGGAATACCACATAGCACACAGGAGTAATGATTTTGCAAATCATGACCTAACTTGGGAAGGACCACAGAGCATTATAATAAGTGAACTAACTCAGCCCCATAAGGACAAATACTGTATAAGACCATTATTGTAGAATAAGTATGAGGATCCAAGGGGAGGAGAGTGGGAACAGAGTGATGAGGATGGATGGGGAAGAGGGGTCAACCATAGGGTCATACAATTTGATGGGTGGAAGGTGGGGAGGGTAAAGGAAATGGAAAGATTAGCTGTGAAAAACACTGTATATGAACTCTGAAAGTACTATGCAGCACTGAGAAACAAGGAACTCTTGAAATATACAAAATGGGTGACCATAGAGGACATTATGCTTAATGTGATATCTCAGTCACAAAAGGACAAATATTGCATAATGCAGTTATAAAAGGACAAATACTGCATAATGGTATGAAACAGGACTGACATGAGGTTTGGGGGAAACTATGAAAAGAAGGGATAAATTATGAACACTGCATTGAAACAGATGAGAAATGGAACTGTTAAAAGGAATATGTGATTAGGTATTATTTGCATGAAAATAGTCCAGAATAAGATGCATAGAAAAGTGGACTGGGGCAGGGGGATTGTACAACAATGAAATATTTTTTTTCAAAGAGAAAAGCGAACTAAGGTGGACAGGCAGGAAAATGTGCAACAATGAATGAATGGAAATCCAAGTTCTCTATAAACTTTCATCAAAATCACAATTTAGAAAAGAAAGAAAGAAAGAAGGAAGGAAAGGAAGGAAGGAAGGAAGGAAGAAAGGAAGGAAGGAAGGAAGGAAGGAAGGAAAGAAGGAAAGAAAGAAAACCACAAAGAAGTACAAAATAAAATTTTATTAAAAAAAGACCAGATAGCAGAATGTAGGAGAAGTGACCGTAGCAAAATATGTTATAATTGCTACATCTTGACAAGTAAGGGGAGAAAAAAATAAAAGTATTATATAACGTGACTTAAAAATATGTGTTTCATGATGAGCCTGATAAATTTATGACCACTGTGTTAACACTTGTCAGAATCCTGGCAAACATGGCTAATCGATTGTTGTACTCTCTCAACAAAGAATTCTCTCAGCTGGGAACCCTCGATACGTCACACAGTGAGCCAGTACCCAACACTGGATGCTGGCACTAAAGCTGAAAAGCTTGTTAAATTTGCTTTTAGTGACATTATTTATGAGTTCTTTCCATAGGGAAACCGTCTCAGGAGGCACACTGCTAGGATACATGGTTAAATAGTGGCTGACTTACCGAAGTTTGTGTATGAATGAACACTCTTCAAAGAGAAATCAAGAAAATAACATTATGATTTCATGAATAGAATAAATTTTTGAAAGTTAAATAACAGTCATCTACATATCAATTTCCAAGGCGAAGATTTTGCTTATTGTTAGGTGCCAATGAGTCAACTCCTACTCACAGTGCCCCACTGAATAATAATCATCTTGCCCTATCCTGTGCCACCTTCACACTCTCCACACAATCTTCAAGCCCACTGTGATGATACATTAAAAAAATAATAGTCCTCCATTTACAAAGAAAGCAATCCCTACAAGAGTAGCAAGAATTTGAAACAATAGTTCTCCAGCTGTAAAATACCAGAAATTAAAGTTTTCACTAACTACCATATAGTTTTAAAATGCACATTTATTATAATTTAAATCAGAAATGGATAAATAGCTTGAAAAACAAATGAGGCAAAGCAGAAAATTTGATGGAGAAGTTGAAACCCAGAGTAGCAACAATACCTGAGCAATAAAAAGGATAGAATTTCATTAAAACTCTTTAAGATTATTTTTAATAAAAATAATTAAAAATAATGTAAGTCCCATTTAAAAAACAAATGCTTTTAAGTCCTAAGAAAAATCTACTATATGGTTCGATTTATATTTACAGAAAGTAAACAGAAATATGACAATGGCATATGAATGATCATGAACACTAAGTAAAATTTTTCTTTTAAGAAATTAAGCCAAATTTATCCATTCAGATCAAATAAATGTGTATTTTGGGTGAAGATAACTTTATTCTGCTGTAACTGCACATTATAGAACTTCCCTAGAATATTAAGTTAAAGGCTGTATAAAGTGACATAGAAAAAAAGGTATATTTTTAATAATTAATCCAGCTAGAATAAAGTCTACCACAGTTTAATCTGAGTAAGCATTAAGTAGGTGTTCTGTTTTTTTGTAGTGAATAAATACTGTATCTATTCTCTACTTCCTCCTCCTCCCATTTTGCTTATATATACACTTTGTCATTTTTAGGATCTAAAATAAATTCTTAAGGTGTATTGACACTGAAAATAAGGAACAGTTTTAGCTACAAGTAACTACAGTCACTATCTATATATACTACTAAGAACAGATGACTAAGTAATTAGAGAAAGTTTTTTAAAGTCCCTTTGAAATAAGTAATATGCTAACAACTTTCATCTTTGGACAAATTCACTGTCACAAATTGTTTTATTATTATGCATTTTCACAGCTTTATATGTGATTTCCTTGGAAAATGAGAAAAGGTAACATATCCGACAATCTTATTTGGTTATAATGCTAAGATGTTTGTTGGCTGGTTACACTGTTAAACTGTATACATTCAATGTTATTATTATGATTGTAATAAAACAAATTCTAATTAGCAAGCATGTCACTGTCTTATTAGGAATATTTATCTCAAGGAAGATATGAGAGATAAATATATTTCTGCCAACTATGAATGTAACTACCAGAATGCATTCTCATGAGGTATGAAAACCAGTAAGAGTCTACCTAACTTGCTTAGTATTCTACTAATAAAACTGTAAAATATTTTAAAAGGTTCTCCTTACCTGTGTATACAGTTTTTACTCTCAAGATATGCCATTCCAGAAGCAGCATCTAATGAAAATTTCACTAACTGTTTGATTTTCAGCTCATCCTTCTTCTTTCTCAGGTAAGAGAGGAAATCACCTCCTAGAAGAATTAACAGATGAACAATGAGACAAAATTATGATAAAAGTCATATATAACATCAGGTATCAGACAGACAAAAAACAACAAAAAAACAAACCCAACCCAACCCAACCCATTACACATTTGGCAATGTTTGGCCCAATTTGTTTGAGGCGAAGATAAAAGAAAATATGAAAGCAACAATCTTATTAAAAAGCAGGTATTAACAACTTTCCTAGATACAGCTTTAGGACTTTAAGTACTTCAAAGTATACATTGCTCATGCTGTAATAATACTTTTTTCCCCGTCAGAAGTTTTTAATTTCCACCGAGTTCTTGGCTATAATTTTTTAAGTAACTTAATTTTCTCTTATACAAAAGAATAAAAATATTGTGGATAGTTATTACAGATAGTAATTGCTTTAAAATTATTGTCTACAACATCATCACTAATTGTTAGGACCATGTAGGGTGGAGGGAGTTATCATTTTGGTAAGATTTATTTGTTGACAGAGTGCATTTTAACTCTCAGAATCAAATGGACCCTAGTGATGTTTTAGAAAATCACCTGAACTAGCATGAGCTAAGATGAGTCACATAATAATTTCAAATTTTAAGTATTCACATTAATAAAGGAAACCAGTGAAATGAATAATACATTTAATACAATATGTTAAAATATTATATCAACATGTATGTTGTTATTGTTGTTATGTGCTATCGAGTTGTTTGCGACTCATAGCAGAGCTCTAAACACTGTTCTATCCTGTGCCAACCTAGCTATCTCAGACACACTTATTCCCACCACTCCAGTCACAGAATCGATCCATCTCATGAAAGGTCTTCCTCTCCTTCGCCACCTCTCCACTCTGCTAAACATGATGTCCTTCTCCAAGGACCAGCCCCTCCTTGCAACATGCTCAAAGTATGTCAGACGAAGCTTCAGAATCCTTGACTCCAAGGAGCATTCCAGCTTCACTGTCTCCAGGACAAACCTGTTTGTTCTCCTAGCAGCTCATGGTATATTCAACACTCTTCTTCAGCACCACAGCTCAAAGGCATCAATTCTCTTTCTATCATCCCTATTCACTGTTCAACTCTCTGATGCATAGCACGTAATTGCAAAAACTCTAGCCAGGATTAGGCGCACCTTAGTATCCAGCCTGACGTCGATGCTCTTCAGTACTCCTGAGAGGTCCCTCACAGCTGACTTTCCCAATTCAATTCATCTCTTGATTTCCTGGCTGCTGTTACCAAGAATGTTGATTGTGGAGCCAAGCAAACTAAAAGTGTTAACTATCTCAATCTCTTTATCATCCATACTGATGCTGCCAATTGGCCCAGGGGTGAGAATCTTTTTTATTTATTTATTTATTTTTCAGTTCAATGAACATCTACAGAGATTTTGGAATTCCATTCATTCATTGTTGCACCCTTCTCCCCGCCCCCCCCACCCCATTTGCTCCTCTCCTTGAAAAGCAAAAGAATCTTTTTTTTTTTTTAATGTTTAGCTTCAATCCACATAGGGGGCTGCAAACGCTTCAGGTCCTTCTCAGTTTCAGCAAGCAGGGTTGTGTCATCTGCATAATGCAGGTTAATAGATCTTCCACCAATCCTGATGCCACATTCCTCTTTGTACAGCCCAGCATCTCGGATGATCTGTTCTGCATACAGATTGAAAAGATATGGAAATAAAATACATCCCTGAAGGACTCCCTCCTTGATTTTGAACCATGTAGTGTCTCCTTGCTCTGTTCTGACGACTGCCTCTTGGTCCAAGTATAGGTTTCGCATTAGCACAATCAAATGTTCTGGGATTCCCATTCTTCTCAGAGTCAGCCACAGTTTGTTGTGATCCACACAGTCAAATGCCTTTGCATAGTCAATGAAGCACAGATAGATATTCTTCTGGTATTCTTTGCTTTCTGCCAAGATCTCCAAATTCTAACCCAGGTAACCTCAGGCCTCATTAGCCAGCACACGCACCCTGAAGCACTGCCAGAAAAAGAGTTTTGGGCCCTCGGGCCAAGAAAATTTGCATCAGCACCTGGCTTCAAATGGACGACAAGTGGTATTAACCCATGAGAAGGCAATCCTGGAGTGGAAGTTATACATTACAGTTGTACTTAACAACTTTAAACTGAAGTCATATTGGCTACATCATCAGAGACTCACAGCAGCACTATATGTTCAGAATCAGAATCACAGAAATCCTAATGGCTTGGAACTTAGGCCATCACATCCGGGGACGGTCAATGGGAGACGGGTATTAAATGCTGTAGGCAAAAGTGGGAAGGGATAGTGGTGGAGTAAGGAAGTGTGGGTGGGCAGCAACATTGAATCTATTGGTCATTGCTATAACTGGGCAATTGTCTTTCATCTGCTCTTTCTGTGGAATGCTTGTCTGTCATATATTATTATATATATTTAAAGACTGAGACAGACTAGGAAGAAGGTTTGGCCTTCCAAAAAAACAGGCCTTCGAAAACCCTATGTACAATAGAGCACACTTAGACTATTGCTTGGACTAGCACACATGGCAATAGAGACTGAGATCTTAGAAACAAAATACAGAGAAGAAGGAACAGCTGTAAGGAGACACTAGTGATTGGAACGTGGCACGTGAGAAGCATGAATGTAGGAAAATTGGACATTGTTAAGAAAGAAATGGAACACATAAATATTGACACACTAGGTATTGGCGAAATGAGATGGCTTGCCATGGCATATTTTGAATCAACATGTATAAATAGAAAAATTATAACAGATATATTCTATGTTCCTTTTTAATACTTAGGGAGCTCTGATGGTGTAGTCCCTAGGACAATGGGCTGCTAACCCAAAGGCTACATCTCACTGGTGGCAAAGATGTGCAATCTCCTTCCTCCTCCAAAATCTGCTGATGAGTCACTGGGAGTTGGTGCTGATTCAATGGCAACAGGGTTTTTAAAAAGATCTTTGAAATATGATGTATAGGTTATTACGTTATCGTACATTTTAATTTAAGTGATTTGTTTTTAGTTTAAAAAATTTATATTTGAAAAGTACACATACATATTTAAGTTGTCTAAACATGTTTGGAAGCAAAGGAAGGAAAGATGGGGGAAGGGAGACTTTTGTTACTTGGAGATAACTAAGTGCCTCCAGGACCATACACGAGAGAGAAAGAGAAAGAGAGACTGCCACTAGAGGAAGCAAGGACTCTGATTCTCAGCCTCCTACACTGATGTTCTAGTGGGCAAGGTGTTAAGCTGCCAACCCAAAAGCAGGTGGTTCAAATCCACCAGCTGCTTCATGAGAGAAAGACAGGCAGTCTCCTCTTGCATGATTTACAGCCTATGAAAATTTGCTGCATGGTCAACTATGAGTTGGTTCCCCTCAATGGCACATAACAACAAATCATGAAAGGTACTGCTTTGTGATATTTCTGTTACAGTACCACCAGAGAATGAAGACAACAGTATTATTTAAAATGAAGTAAAAGTGTTCTTTAGAAACAATCATGTCTAGTTTTCCTTTCTCTTAAACTCCCAGATATTAAACCAAACTTTGCCAAGAGGAATTAGAATTTTAATTACCATTTCCCGAACTATTTCACCCCCTTCACCAGGGATCTAGCCTTCCTGAAATAGAAAAAGCTCTAGAGGTGAAGGTTTAATGGTTTTTTTCTTCAATGAGAGTATCTACAAAATAAATACATTTTGAACTCTCCTCATAATGTTCTCTTATTATAGCCTTTTCTCTTAGTCACTTTCTCTTAGTCAAGTGTCACACAAATTTATATGCACCATTTACAAAATCACAAAGTGAAATGTGTTAAAAATAACTCAGCAGTGGCAGATGAAATGCTTTTTTTCTACTTAAAGAGAATATCAAATGTGCTATTGATGTGGATGATTACTGAAATAGCTTATTTCAGTCTTTAAAAAATCCGAACAGAACACATAAATGCAAAATAAATAGCAAAACTAACAACTAAATTTTTAATTTTATTATGTACCAAATATCCATTAAAATGGACTTTAAAGAAGAATATAGTTATTAGAACGCACACACACACCCCCGATGCTGTGTTTTATTAGATGGGCTAGAGTTCAGAGCTGTTGTTCAGTTATTCACAGGGTCACTATGAGTCTTACTGGCATCTCATGACAACAATGACAACACAATTAGCCTGCTGGATCCCTGGAGGTACTGTAGGCTAAGGAATGGACTGCTAATCAAAAAGTCAGTGATTTGAACCCACCCTGTACGACAAAGATGAGGCGGTTTACTCTTGTAAAGCTGTGCATCCTGGAAACCTAGGGGGCAGATCTCCTCCCATACGATCACCATGAACTGGGAGCAAGTACACGACAGTAGCTATTTCTTTTTTTAAAAATCCTGTTTTAGAAAACATGTACACCTCCATGCTTGAAACCATATAGCATTCTATTGAAATGTTAGAGTAATTATGAAGTGAAACGTTCTTTTCATGAATTCTATTTCACAGTAGTCATTATGAGTCGTGCTCAACTCAAAGGCAATCAACAACAGTAACAGTAGTATATAGTAGGATCCCAATTTTTGGCAGAATTTGGGTATTATTTGTTTCAAAAAAATTAATATATAACTTTTTTCCATGTGTGTATTAACCAATTAAACTTTGCTTCTTTATATCATCCTCCCGGCACACTGGATACTCCAGTCTGTAAAATGGTGAAGAAAATTGGGCCTCTGTTTTTCAGTGCTGGCACTCCTACCACAGTCCTTTGCATGCGATAATGTCTCAATAAACACATCTTGTATTAATTAATAAAATGTGTTATTTTGTCTTTCTTTTTCAGCTTGTAAGTTATCTAGGAAGGCAATAATATAAATATTTCTCTCTACCCCTTACTCAGTTATTAACAGTGGGATTTTTCTAAGCAATTGTTAAGTATTTAAACAAAAATTAGAAAATAATGACATTTCATTTCTTACTAATGACAGCTGGTGGATGCCATAAAATTCTCTGCATTGCAAAACGAAACTTAAGGACT